GTTTTCAGGAAAAGGACTGATAGACAGCTGGGAGAAAGCCAAGAAATACCCCAATTTGTATTGTCTCTCATACGTAAGCCCCCCAAAGCTTACGTATGAGAGACAACAGGTCCTTCTGAAAGCCAGTGATATACAGGAAAAAGGACTGGTTGAAAGTCTGTAAAGGACCCTCTGCCCCCAGCCCAAAGGTCCATTTTATCTTTCCTATGCAGCGATGTAACTGGCAGAACTGTTTGGAAAGATGAACCACAGAGGCTTTTAGAATCTAGGATACCAGGTTCAGCTAAGGGTGAAGCTGTTTGTACTAAAAAGGGAATGGATGCGGTGGCTTGCACCTGTAATTCCAGCACTTTGGGAGGCCGAGGCGGGTGGATTGCTTGAGGCCACGAGTTTGAAACCAGCCTGGCCAACATGGTGAAATATAAAAATACAAAAATTAGGGTGTGGTGATTCAACACAGTAATCCCAGCTACTTGGGAGGCTGAGGCAGGAGAATCATCTGCACCTGTGAGGTGGAGGTTTCAGTGAGCCGAGATTGCTCCACTGCACTCCAGAGACTCGGTCTCAAAAAATAAATAAATAAAAATTTAAAAAAGAATTAAAAACGGAAGAATATTTAAGTGCTACACACTTAGAGGTAAAACCACCCCTTCTACCCCTGGAATGATGACAGCTCAGCACTCACTAAGAAAATGACTGAGGTGCTGGGTGCGGCGGCTCACGCCTGTAATCCCAGCACTTTGGGAGGCTGAGGCGGGTGGATCACCTGAGGTCGGGAGTTTGAGACCAGCATGACCAACATAGAGAAACCGCATTTCTACCAAAAATACAAAACATTAGCCAGGCGTGGTGGCACATGCCTGTAATCCCAGCTACTCCCAGCTACTGAGGGAGAATTGCTTGAACCTGGGAGGCGGAGGTTGCAATGAGCTGAGATTGCACCATTGCACTCCAGCCTAAGCAACAAGAGTGAAACTTCATCTCAAAAAAAAAAAAAAAAAAAGAACACTGGGAAGGTGGCACACTCCAGCTCTAAGGACAGAAGCTCCTACACTTGGGACTCTTCCAGATCTCACCCTCTGCATCTCATCTGGCTGTGTTTGTATCCTTTAAAATACCCTTTGTAATTAACAAGTAAATCTGTTTCCCTAAGTTTTGTGAGCTGCTCTGGCAAATTAATCAAACCCAAAGAGGGAACCTGTGAGCCCCAACTTGAAGCCACCCAATCAGAAGTTCCAGAGGCCTGGACTTGTGACTGGTATCTGAAGCCAGGCAGCCTTAGGGACTGAGGACTCTTCTCCAGGAAGACAGCATCAGAACCGAATTAAATTACAGGACACCCAGCTGTGCCCACTGGAGAAAAAAAAACACACATTTGGTCACAGAAGCCTCTGGGTTGATGGCTGTTTTTGTGTGAAAGCAGAGGAGAGACAGTTTGAGTGTTTTTCCTACACACCAGCCAAGCTACCAATCAAGTGAGAGGTTAGAATAAAAGGTCTCAAGAAATTGAGGCCAGGCGTGGTGGCTCATGTCTGTAATCCTAGCACTTTGGGAGGCTGAGGCAGGTAGATCACCTGAGCCCAGGAGTTCGAGACCAGCCTGGGCAACATGGCAACACCCTGTCTCTCTTCGGGAGGCTGAGGTGAGAGGATCACTCGAGACCAGGAGGTAGAGGCTGCAGGGAACGGTGATCACACCACTGCATTCCAGCCTGGGTGACAGAAAAAAACCTTGCTCCAAAAATAAAAAGTTGACGTCTCATGTATTTTCTTTTTTTCTAGGAAGTTTACAGAGGATGTGCCCTACCAAGAAAAAGATATAAACCAAAGAAAAGATATGCGATCTAGGAAACAGGGAATCCCACCTAGGAGAGAGGCAAGAGGCATGCTGAGGACGCAGGTGAACAGAAATTCGGGAACATCTGTGCACAGGCCTCGCAAGCAACCGGTCCAGATGGAACAGAGAAGAGAGGATTCCAGGAGGCTGTCTGGCCCAGTCTCACTATCCCTTTTTATTTATTTATTTTTTGAGATGGAGTCTCATTCTGCTGCCCAGGCTGGAGCACAGTGGTGTGATCTTGGTCTACTGCAACCTCTGCCTTCCGGGTTCAAGTGATTCCCATACCTCAGCCTCCCAAGTGGCTGGGACTACAAGGGCCTGCCACTACGTCTGGCTAATTTTTGTATTTTTAGTAGAGACAAATTTTCACCAGGTTGGCCAGGCTGGTTTTAAACTCCCAACTTCAGGTGATCTGCCTGCCTCCTCAGCCTCCCAAAGTGCTGGGATTGCAGGTGTGATCCACTGCACCCAGCCTCACTATCTTTTCCTGAATGTGTTTTGAAAGGCTCATGTGGCCTTGTTCACCTTGATCTTCAGGTCACATGCTCCTGTCATATACTCTTGTAGCACTGGGCACCATCCCTTCACAGCAGAGATCAGTGTGGTCATTAAACATCTATTTCTATGATTTCCTGATTGATGTCTGCCTCATCCACTCCTCTTTTTTTTTTTCTTCGAGATGGAGTCTCGCTCTGTCACCCAGGCTGGAGTGCAATGGTGCGATCTCAGCTCACTGCAATCAATCTCTGCCGACCAGGTTCAAGCAATTCTCCTGCCTCAGCCTCCCGAGTAGCTAGGATTACAGGCATGTGCCAAAATGCCCAGCTAATTTTTGTATTTTTGGTAGAGATGGGGTTTCACCATGTTGGTCAGGATGGTCTTGATATCTTGACCTTGTGATCTGCCCTCCTCCACTGCCCAAAGTATCAGGATTACAGGCATGAGCCGCCACGCCCAGCCCTCACTGCTCTCTCAGCTTTGTCAGGGTGGGGGCTGTGCTATTCTGGCTCATTTTTGAACCCCCTGGTGCCAAACACAGAGTAAGTGCTTAATACACATTCATTAAAGCACTGACAGAAGGAATGCTGCATTTTCAATATGCCAGAACAGCTAATATAAATTCCTGGCACCTGCCCCCAGGTAAAATTAAGTGAAGCATTGCTGGGAATGTAAAATTTCTCAGCTCCTGTGGAAGACAGATGCCAAATCCTCAAAAAATTAAACCTAGGATTAGCATATGGTCCAGCGATTTTCACTTCTGGGTGTATATTCTAAGAACTGAAAACAGGGTCTCAAAGAGATTATTTGTCCACCCAAATTCATAGCTGCCTTATTCACAACAGCCCAAACACAGAAGTGACCCAAGGGTCTGTCCACTGACCAATAAACAAATAAGCAAAATGTGGTACATACAGACAATGGAATATTATTCAGCCATAAAAAGGAAGGGAATTCTGAGACAGGCTACAATATGGGTGAGCCTTGAGGACATGATGCTGTGAGAGAAGCCAGTCACAACAAGACAAATACTGTGTGATTCCACTTGTATGAGTTACTTAGAGTAATCCAAACCAGAGAGAGAGACTGTAGCGTGGTGGCTGCCAGGGACTGGGGGCGGGGGAGATGAGGAATTGGTGTTTAGAGGGGTTAGAGTTTCAGCTGTACAAGACTAAAGAGTTCAGGAGATGAATGGTGGTGGTGGGTGCTCAACATTATGAATGTATTTAGCACCAATGAGCCGTACACTTAAAATGACTAGCATGGGCTGGGCATGGTGACTCACGCCTGGAATCCCAGCACTTTGGGAGGCCAAGGCAGGCAGATCACAAGGTCAAGAGATAAAGACCATTCTGGCCAACACGGTGAAACCTGATCTCTACTAAAAATACAAAAATCAGCCAGGCATGGTGGCACATGCCTGTAATCCCAGCTATTCAGGAGGCTGAGGCAGGAGAATGGCTTGAACCAGGGAGGTGGAGGTTGCAGCGAGCCAAGATCGCACCACTGCACTCCAGCCTGGGCGACAGAGAGAGACTGTCTCAAAAAAACAAACAAGAAAACCCAACAACAACAAAATGCTAGGATGGTAAATTTTATGTTATGTGTACTTTAACACAATTTTTTTAAATGGAAAAAAAAAGCCAGGCACAGGAGCTCACACCCATAATCCCAGCACTTTGAGAGGCCTGGGTGGGAGAATCGCTTGAGTCCAGGAGTTTGAGACCAGCATGGGCAACATAGCAAGACTTCTGTCTCTACAAAAAATAGCCAGTCATGGTGGCACCTGCCTGAAGTCCTTGCTACTCAGGAGGCTGAGGTGGGAGGACTGCTTGAGCCCGGGAGTTCGAAGCTGCAGTGAGCCATGACTGCACTACTGTACACAGCCTGGGTGAGAGAGTAAGGACCGGTCTCAAAAAAAGAAAAAAGAAAAGAAAAAGGGAAAAACAGTTATGCCAAGGGCTGGATCCTGTCTATTGGTTCCTTTTTGTAGATGCTCTCAAACCCACTGACTGGATCACTACTCAGCAAACATCCATTCCTCTCCCTCTCCCGTGGGGATGGCATATTCTACACCATCCCTTTGATAGTGGGCTTGGCCATGTTATTGCTTTGGCCACTGAAACGTTGGCATGTGTGGCAGGAATGGCGGCTTCAAGTGATGCTTGCACAGTTTAGCTTGCTTCTCAGACTTCCGCCAGCTTTCTTATGAGCTTCTCTCAGGTAGAAGGATGAGGCTTATGGGGCAAACATGAACCCAGCTTGCAGCCTCAAACCACGTCCCAGCACGGGGTTTCTCCATGTTGGTCAGGCTGGTCTCAAACTCCTGACCTCAGGTGATCTGCCTGCCTCCACCTCCCAAAGTGCTGGGATTAGAGGCATGAACCACCGCATCCAGCCAACCCTATCTCTTAAAAAAAAAAAAGAAAATTTGTTTTAAGCTGGGCATGGTGGCACGTGCCTGTAGTTACCCAGGAGGCTGAGGCAGGAGGATTGCCTGAGCCCAGGAGTTAGAGGCTGCCTGAAGTTATGGTTATGCTACTCCTCTGCACCTTGGTGACTTCTTGATAAGGGTTGGACTCAATTATTAAGCTTCTTTCCAGTGCTAGGATTCTGTGGTCTAGAAGGATCTATGCCCCCTAGACTGACCTCCCCTTTCTTACCTGGGTATGGCTCAGCAGGGGGAGGGTAGCGTGGTAGGCTGAGCAGAAAGCCTGGCTGGCTTCCCAGGCCTGCGCTTCTACAGAGAGGTAGTAGCAGTGCTCCTCGGACAACACCCAGCCTGGGGGGCACGGCTGGCATCTGGTTCCTGCAAGCACAGAGACTGCTGGTGAGCCGCAGGGTAAACTGCATTAAATAAACAAAGCCTGGCTGCTGCCTCAACTAAAGCGGCATGGAACTGGCAAACCTCAGGGTGGGCAGCGCTCCAGGGAGGCTGTATAGTCTGTGCAGTGCACAGAGTCCCTCGGGGCTGTGCCTGGCATCTGATTGCTTATCAAGGCACAAGTTGTGTCCAGTGGGAGGAAGGCGCCAATTTTCCTTTGCTCATCAAGAAGGTCTTCATGTTGCATCTCTCAGTGTCTCTTTCTAATTCTAAGGCGTTGTAAGGGGTGGAAACCCAGTCCCAGTAGTGAAACAGCGGGGAGAGGGGACGGGGACTGCAGAGGACACCATACCTGCTCTTGAGGCCAGGACCACAATGACAACCCCAGAGACGGCCAGGAGCACAGCCATGACCGCCAGGGCCCAGCGCAGGGACTTCATGTACACAGACAGCCCTGGGACGGGGGCAAACAGGACAGTCGGGTTAGCGGAGACCATCCCAACCAACCCAACTCAGAACCACAGACACAGTACACCAGCATCACACCCACCTCGCGCCAGCACCCGCTGCTTCAGCCTGTGCTGCCAACGTAAACCACAACATTTGGGTTCCAACTTTATATTCAGGAGAAAGAAGCCAGACTTTCTTTTCTCTTCTTTTTTTGACGGAGTCTTGCTCTGTTGCCTAGGCTGGAGTACAGGGTACAATCTCGGCTCACTGTAACCTCTGCTTCCCAGGTTCAAGCAATTCTCCTGCCTCAGCCTCCCGAGTAGCGGAGATTACAGGTGCATGCCACTATGCTTGGCTAATTTTTATATTTTTTTAGTAGAGACAGTGTTTCACCATGTTGGCCAGGATGGTCTTGAACTTCTGACCTTGTGATCCACCCACACTGGCATCTGAAAGTCTGGGATTACAGGCGTGAGCTACAGCTATTCTTAATCTGTATATTAAGAAAATGCAGATATTCTTAAATACTTAGAAGGCTTAAGATTCTAGGCTGGGTGCGGGTGCTCACTCCTGTAATCCCAAAACTTTGAGAAGCTGGGGTAGGAGAACTACTTGAGTCTAGGAGTTCGAGACCAGCCCAGGCAACATGGTGAGACCCTGTCTTTATTTGTTTCTTTTGTTTGTTTATTTTTGAGATGGAGTTTTTCTCTTGTTGCCTAGGCTGGAGTGCAATAGTGTGATATTGGCTTACTGCAACCTTTGCATCCTGCAACCTTACTGCAATTCTTCTGCCTCAGCCTCCTGGGTAGCTGGAATTACAGGCGTGCGTCACCACGCCTGGCTAATTTTGTGTTTTTAGTAGAGACAGGGTTTCTCCATGTTGGTCAGGCTGGTCTTGAACTCCTGACCTCAGGTGATCCACCCGCCTCAGCCTCCCAAAGTGCTGGGATTATAGGCATGAGCCACCGAGCTTGGCAGAGACTCTGTCTTTACAAAAAGGAAAAATGTAGCCGGGCATGGTGGCATGCACCTGTAGTCCCAGCAACTTGGGAGGCTGAGGTGGGAGGATCACTTGGGTGTTGGAGGTCAAGGCTGCAGTGAGCCACAGTCGTGCCACTGCACTCCAGCCTGGGGGACAAAGTAAGATCCTGTCTCAAAACAAACAGATTCTATGTAAGAAAGGGAACAAATAGTTGGCTAATAACCATTTATGAAGCACTTAATGACATGACATACAGAAAATAGGGTAAGACCCTGTACTCAAGGAGCTAACAGGTAGGCAAAGGGACCAGGGGATAAAACTACCAAACAAGAGAGGAGCAAGGGCTGTCTTGGAGCTTGGCAGGCCTGGCTTAGAGCACCACATGGCTGGGAGTTGTCAGCAGTAGTGTTCCTGATGCTTCAAAACCAAGTGGACCAGATGGCTGGAACGTGGCTGCAGAAAGGATGACTTCAAATGCTTAATTACAGCCATGGTCAGCTACAAACATTCAACCTAGAAATTCACACCCATCTGAAGTAACTGAGCACTCCTGAATTTGACCTTGGTCATGACACTGAAGTGTAAAATCAACTATAGCAAAAAGATAACTCTCTTCTCCCAGAAACCCTGCAGCAAGAGGCCCTAGAATTCTCCCACATCTCAGGGACGACGGCCAGCAATGACCACATCATCAATGTGAGGGTTGTAAGCACGAAATCATCATATTGGCCACCATCTGGAGAAGAAAAAGATAATAAACCTACCCATCACCTAAGTCAATACAATTGTGGTGGCTGAACACTAAATTTAGCTCTACCTTTTATATAGTAAAGCAGTAAAGAAATACAGTTGGTTACAAACACCTCACACACTTAATTCCAAGGAGGATTCACCTTAATTCCAAACTGCTGAGTTTAGAAATGGCCCCCCACAGAGCCACCTGTCCTCTCAAACTACCAGTCAAAGGAAAGTCCCCACCCCACCTTGCTTTTTAAAAGAGCAATTCTGTTTTATTAATTTTTTTTCTTTTTTGTAGAGACAGGATTTCACCATGTTGCCCAGGCTAATCTTGAACTCCTGGACAAAGGAAATTCTCTTTTCTAGGCTTCCCAAAGTGTTGGGATCACAGGCATGAGCCACTTGCACCTGGCCAAAAAAGGAATTCTCTTTTTATTTTATTTATTTATTTATTTTTTTTTTCAGATGGAGTCTCCCTCCATTGCTCAGGCTGAAGTGCAGTTATGGGATCTTGGCTCACTGCAACCTCCACTTCCCAGGTTCAAGTGATGATTTGCCTGCCTCAGTCTTCTTGAACCCGAAGACTGGTGGCGAAGGTTGCAGTAAGCCGAGATAGCGCTATTGCACTCCAGCCTGGGCAACAAGAGCGAATCTTCGTTTAATTAAAAAAAAAAAAAAAATGTGGCTTTCCCATGACCCCAACGTCACCAGACTCCTTCTTTGCAGGAATTTGGCACTAGATCTGAGAGATCCAGAGCTAAGAGTTGTCAGAGGTCGTAGTAGGGCAGGCAACTCCCTAGAGAGAAAGCCCAGTAACTCCTGCTCTGGGCCCAGGGGTTTGTCTGGGGAATGGTTTTATTCTTTTACCGCAAACAATGTGAATTACGGTTACAGAGACAGGAATGTTACTGATTGTAAGCCCGAAAGGCCAGATGGGGTGGGGCATCGAGACAGACGACTGGGTCCCTTAGTGGGTCCGATGTCCAGTGGTCCAAGGCTGGGCGGGTGTAGGGGCTTCCGCCACATCCACCCGACCTGGAGGCGCCGGCTGCCGGCGCAGGTGATCACTCACCCAAGTGCGTTACGGCCCGGGGCAGCTTCTTGTCGCGGTCCAACCCCGCGCAGGGCAGCAGCGCCGCACCCTCCTTCTCCAGCCCCAGCTCCTTGCAGCGGCAGCACGTCGCGGAGCTCGGGGAGCCGGCGCTTCCCTCGGCGGGGCTGGCCCGGCCCTCGGCGTCGCAGCCGCTCTCCGTCCGGGCTGCAGCCAGTGGCGAACCGCGGCTCCACGTGCCGCCAGGGGACGGTGCGCGCTGCAAGAGCTGGTGCGCGAGGGCCGCGCTGCGGGAGAATGCGGGGGACTCGGGCACCGGCACCGTGAGGAAGCGCGTGGAGGGCCGGGGCGAGGGCGTGCGGCTGCTGCCGGCCGCGCCCACGGGCTTCACGAGCACGTCCACCTGCAGCTCTATGGGCGCCCAGGCTCCGGGCGCAGGCTCAGCCCCGGGCGCCTCGCTATTCCGGGGCGGCTCAGCAGAGGAGGGGCCCGGCGACGGCGGCTCGGGGTAGGCAGACCCCAGGCGACCGAAGGCGCCGTAGCCCCGGCTGAGCGGCGGCAAGCGCAGGGGCCTGGGGCGAGGCAAGGGCAGCTGTTTCTCGCTCGAGGGCTCCGGGTCCGCGGCCGCCGCCTCCTCCACTGTCCGGGCCGGAGTCGGGCTGCTTTCGGGACCCTCAGGTTGTCGCGTCTCCGCGGGGACCTGCGGCTGCTCCAGCCCGGGAAGCAGGCTTCCCATGGGCTCCATTGGGAGTTCGGCCCCAGCTTGACTTTCGGGTGCAGCCTCCTTGGCCCGCTCCATCCCGCGCGCCCTGCACCCGGAGACGCCAAGGAGGGCACCTGAGCCCAGGTGCAGAGGGGCTTCACTCTCCTGCGTCTGGATTGGTCCAGCCGCGTCGCCCAAGTTGTCAGGCCACGCCCCTCCCCGAAAGGTCCCGCTGTGATTGGCTGTGGTTGCTGTTCTGCTGCCACACCGCCCTCGGGACACAGGCCCCGCCTACGCTGGGAAGGGCTGCTGGGCCAGGCGAGGCTTGCAGGGTGAGCAAGAGCTCTCCGGGGAGAAAAGCACAACTGCGAGCGGAGGCTAGTGGGAGAGAACCCGGGGCCCCGCCTGACCCGTCCCTCTTGTCTCTGACCCCACCCATTTTCCCCTCCAGCCCTGTGCCTGGGTGTTGGTTTTGAGAGTTACAGTTTGGGCGGGGAACGATTGTCTAAGCCTGTCTGGATCCTGGCACCTCAGAGAAATTAGAACCCAAAGGAATTGGGGCGGCCTGTGGAAAAGTACCCCTTTTGGTTGTCCTAATAATCCGGTAGGGTTTCGAAAGAACTTTCCATCACACCTGGGAGGACTCTCCCATGGCAAAACTGCCAGGAGGCCTGACTCCTACTAGCCTAATTTATTAAAGAGTGAGGAATGAATAAGCATGAAAATGTGTATTTTCAGGAGGAGGAGAGCCTGGTAGCCTGGTGTGGTCTGGTTCCCAGTCGAGCCAGTGATATGAAGGCCGTTTTAAAAATACAGATTCGTAGGAGTGTGGGTGTGGGGACAGGATACCTGGCTGGGTACAGATTATTATACCTGGCTGGGTACAGACCACACAGATTATTATAAGGGATAAGGCCTCTGTTATTTTTAAGTGCCCCCAGGATGGGGTTGGCAGATAAAATGCAGGCCACTCAGTTAAATTTGAATTTCAGTTAAACAAGGGATAGTTTCTAGCACAGTAGTCCTCCTTTATCCATTGGGATAGTTCCTTTGGATTTCATGAGACCCTGAGTATCCTTCCCATACCTCCTCCACTTTTTGCTTTATCATTTAAGACTCTGGAGCTTTGCGTACTGCCAGTATCGTACCCGATGAGGTTTATCTGAGGCACGATTGTTGATCATTGGAAACTTTTCCCAATACCCCCCCATCCCGTGACGACTTGCAATATAGTCGGCATTGGCAATTTTTGACAGTCTCTATGGAGACTGAATATGTTTTTTTTTAAAAAAAAAAAAGTCTCTGGGCCCAGTGTGGTGACTCGTACCTGTAATCCCAGCACTTTGGGAAGCCAAGGCAGGAGGACCACTTGAGTCCAGGAGTTTGAATCTGGGCAGCACAGGGAGACTTTGTCCCTACTAAAAATGCAGAAACTTAGCTGGGTGCAGTGGCATGAGCCTGTGGTCTCAGCTACTTGGGAGGCTGAGGCAAGAGGATTGCTTGAGCCTGGGAGTTTGAGACTGCAGTGAGCTGTGATTGTGCCATTACACTCCAGCCTGGGCAATAGAGTGAGATCCTGTCTCAGAAAAAGAAAGGAAGGCAAGAAAGGAAGGAGAGAGAGAGAGTAAGGGAGAGAGTAGGGAAGGGAGAGAGGAGGGAAGGGAAGGGGAAAGGTGTGGGGAGGGGATGGGGGAGGGGATGGGAAGGGGATTGGGGAAAGGATAAGAGAGGGGAAGGGAGGGGAAGGCAGAGGAGGGGAGGAGAGGGAAGGGGAGAGGACAGGAGGGGAGGGAAGGGAGACTCTGCAAGTGGCTGAAAACCCAGGTCCCACTGGGCTCCACGTTTCTCTTGAGGTGAGGGCCAGGATTCAATGCAGTCTCTGTGTACCTCCTGTGACACAGCACATCAGCCTGGCACCGCAAGGCCATTACAACTTCTAAAGTGGGATATCCTAAGATAGGTGAATTACCCAAATGTTTCAAGGCGGTTCAGATGCTAGCTGGCGAAAAAGAACAAATATCTACTGTGATCTTTCTTTTCATCCTTCTCTTGCTTTCCCTCACTTTAAAATTCCGTTTTCTGCTTGCAACAGCAATACATGCCTGCAATACAAAATGTAGATATTACAGAAAAGCACACTGTAGAAAATAAAGGTCCCCTGTTTTCTATGCCCCAGAGATTTCTGTTATTAACATTTTGGTATGCAGTCTTCAAGATTTTTAAACAAATGTATACAGTTACCTGTACTGTTATTATATATACAAATATCTTTATTTTTAAAACCTTCACTCACATTAAATGTTTTCCTATGTGTAATTTATTTAAGAAGTCTCCTATTGATGGACATTTGAGTTGTTTCCATTTGGGTGACATAATTACTGCATTGCTGAACATGATATAGATATAATTCAGTGAGAATCCTTGTATATATTGTTTTTTAAAATCACATCTCTGATAATATCTTCAGAATAGAATCACTAAAATGAAATTGCTGAGCCAAAGGGTGGTCAGAGTTTTGGATACAATGGGTACTGCTAAATTACCCACGAGACGCTCAACAGACGAAGGATGAGAGGGCTGTTCCCGTGGCTGCACCAGCACGTCACATCATCAATCTTCTTGGTCCTCACCAATCTGATGGGCAAAGATATTGAATTTTAGCTTGCATTTCTTTAACTATGAATGAAGCTGAACATCTTTTTATTTGTTAATTGTGCCACTGAGAAGTGTCTGGGACACTGTGGGGGCTGGGTAAAATACCATTGAAATTTCCTCTATCCTCTCTACCACTGAAAGTTCCAGATCACTGGCTGGTTCCAGGAAGTGGCCCTGTAGGAATCCTTGTCATCTTTTCCTGACCCACGCCATGAAGTTCACTGGTCAAGGGTGGCTGATGGTATCTGGTTTGTCTGAGCAGACTGAAGAGTTCTACAAGCATAATTTAAACTGCAGCTTAATTCACCAGAGAGGAGGCAAACAGTCCCACTCCTGGTTCTTGGCTGATGTCATCCCCATGGCATGCTGGCCCCTCTAGGGGACCTAGAGACACAGATGAGGAGGGAGAGGGGTTTCTGCACAACCAGCTCCCTGGCACAGCCTGTCCCCAGCTCACATTCCACCTGCTCAGAGGCTCAGAGGGTACCCAAGCCAGTGTGACATCCCCCCATCCCACCTAAGCCCCCATCTTGGTCTCTCCCCTGTCAGGTGTCTTCCTAGCACTCTGTACTGTCTGTGGTCAACATGTGCACATGGTGGTCTCATCTTTTAATGCTTGTCTTTGGCCCCCAAGAAATCCTCACTGCATCCCCAGATTGGTATCTGAAACACCCATCCCTGCTTCTTGGCTGACGTCTCCGATAGTAGCTTAGTGGATATTTATGCTGAATGGGGTACTGTACAGAGTGCTTCACATACCTTGGCTCTCTTTCCCCTCAATCTTTAGTTGACACATTTTAAACACTAAGAAATGTGGAAAGAATACATGGTGAGCGAGTGAACGCCCTCCACCTTGATTCAACAGTTAGCATTTCATGTGTCGTCCTTGTCTTTCTCTCCATCTCTGTGCAGACATTCTCTCAGTTGTTACAGAACCATCTGAGTGTGAGCTGCTGGCCTCAAGAAACCTCACCCTTCAATATTTCAGCATGCATTTGCAAGAATGCATGTGTTTTCCATAAGTACAATGCCATTCTCACACCAAAGAAATTAACAGTAATGCTGAGCTAGGTGATATTCTAGAAACCAAATTTAAATTTTTCTAATTTTTTTCTCCAACCAAGTTCCCATCAGGGTTCACATTTTACATTCGGCTGTTAGGTCCATTTGCTCTTTATAATAACTAAAATCCTTACTTCACAGGTGAGAAGACAGATTCAGAGAGGCTGAGGAACTCGTGCAGGGTTGGATATCTCCTAGTGGGAAAGCCAGCATGTCCTTGAGCATCTCTGGCCACCCAAAACATATTTTCTCCCCTTTTGCTGCTTTATGCTCCCCTAGTCCTCCTGGTTTTATCCCCAGTCTCTCGCTGATTGGGTCCATGCCAGTCATGGGCTGGGGCAGAGGTATGGATGTTAACCCCATTACTCAGCAGACTAAGCCTTGCTTTCCAATTCCTTCAGCCACACCACACCTGATCCCCATCCCCTGTAACTTTCTGAGACATCAGTCATCCACTGGGAGTGACAAGGCAGCCTCCTTTTAGTGGAGGATCCATCTGCAGCTAGGTGAGGCAGAAGAGAGAGAGCTAGGCAGTGCTAGGGGAAGAACAAAAGGTGGTTTTAGGTCAAGAATGTGGGTAAGGCAGGGACTGAGAAAACATTCCACCTGGATGCATGTGAGCTTATCCCAGGAGAACTGGAGAAGAGCCATGACCCAGCAGAAAAACAGCTCACTGAGTCATCCATCTGCTTGTGGAAACAAAGACCCTCCTTTGAGGTGGAGTTTGCAGCAAGCCCAGATTGTGCCATCGCACTCCAGCCTGGGCAACAAGAGCGAAACTCTGTCTAAAAAAAACAAAAAACAACAGATCACGTGGTCAGGAATTCGAGACCAGCCTTAACAACATGGTGAAACACCGTCTCTACTAAAAATACAAAAATTAGCCAGATGTGGTGGTGTGTGCCTGTAATCCCAGCTACTCAGGAGGCTTAGGCAGGAGACTCGCTTGAACCCGGGAGGCAAAGGTTGCAGTGAGCCAAGATCATGCCATTGCACTCCAGCCTGGGTGACAGAGTGATATGCTGTTTAGAAAAAATAAATAAAGACCCTCCCTTTTAAGAGCTCCATCCACAGAATCCTTTCCTGTCAAATGTAGCACTTGTGGGACTGTAAATGGTGAGGATAGACAGCCGTGACTCAGGGATATGGACAGACCTAGCTCTCCTCTGGATTAGTGTCCCCAACCTTAGCTGAATTTGCTGAGTCTGGGGCTCAACACTTGGAAAGACCTAGATGGGAGAAGGTAGAAGGACCAGGAGACCCAGGGAGCAATGGAGTAGGGCTGGGCCTGGGGATACAAGACCAGGAGAAGCAGCGCCTACCTCCTGGCATCACAGGTGTGTAAGAGACTTTCCCCCCAGGCTCTGTGGGACTCCTGTCACCAGAGACTGGGATAGCAAAGGGAGGAGACACAAGTGCCCAGGAGCACATTGGTGAAGAGGTCCCAGATTTAAGGATAATGGTACCCTCTTCCCCTCTAAGCGAAATCAGCCCATTATGAATGAGATTTGCTAGTATGAGAGTCTTGAGGCCTAGGTATCCCTCACATCAAATCAGGCCTTGCAAAAATCTAACTAAAGAGTCTAGAATACACCACCAGGACGCCATGACTAAATGTAGGAAATTGTAGTCTAATCAAATATATTAACAGCTATGTGTTAATATGTGTTTTAAGACAAAAGTGGTCATTATTTATATCATCAGGAAAAAAAGCCGTGAAGCAATCATTTTCAGGGGAAAGTGGGAAAGGGTGGAGAAAAGAGTAGAATATAAGAAAAGGTCTCCCAAATACAAGAATCTGGCAAGTTTCTTTAGCACTGCCCAAGATAGAGAGACACCAGATGTTCTGATTCCCTGAGATGCAGGGGACCCATGCCTGCCCCATGCCACCCACTGCCAGGATCCTAATGCTGAGGCCCTAAACCAATATGGCCTGGAGGTATCAGAGGTTCTTCACCAATAATGTGCAGGTGGCTGGGAGTCTCTCCTCAGCTTCTGTCTTAGTCCATTTTCTGTTGCTATAGCAGAATACCTGAGACTGAGTAATTCATAAAGAAAAGAAAGGCCAGGTGCAGTGGTTCACATCTGTAATCCCAGCGCTTTGGGAGGCCAGGGTGGCCAGATCACTTGAGATCAGGAGTCTGAGACCAGCCTGGCCAATATGGTGAAACCCCATCTCTACTAAAAAATACAAAAATTATACGGTGTGGTGGCATGCAGCTGTAATCCCAACTACTCAGGAGGCTGAGGCAGGAGAATCACTTGAACCCAGGAGGAAGAGGTTACAGTGAACTGACATCATGCCATTGCACTCAAGCCTGGGCAACAGAGTGAGACTCTGTCTCAAAAAAATAAAAAATAAAAATAAAGAAAATACATTATTTCTTATAGTTCTAAAGACTGGAAAGTCCAAGGGAATGGTAGCAGCTTCTGGTAAAGGCTTTCATGTTGCATCATAACATGGAAGAAAAGGGGAAGGGCAAGTGAGTATGATAATTTACCCATTTATGCTCCCAAGAGAGGCACTGATTTCACTTAGATCACCTTACAC